GAGCCAGTCACAGTCCAGTATAGCACTGATGAAACATACAACTTTCCTGTAGTTCTTTAATGCTTCCCCACCACCACCACTATCATGACTCCAACTCTATCTTACAAATCTGGTGTACACTGGTACAGATAGGAGCTGGAAACAGGGAATCCAGGACAGATAAACCCCTCAGGACCAATAATGAGAGTAGTGATGCTAGGAGGGTAAGGGGAAGATGGGGGAGAAAGAGGGAACTGATCACAATGATCTACATATAACCCCCTCCCTGGGGGACAGACAACAGAAAAGTGGGTGAAAGGAGACAGTGTAAGACATGCAAAAATAATTTCTAAATTATCAAGGGTTTGTGAGAGAGGGAGGGAGAGTGGGGTGGGAGGGGGCAAATGAGGAGCTGATACCAATGGCTCAAGTAGAAAGCAAATGTTTTGAGAATGTTAATGGCAACAAATACACAAATGTGCTTGACACTATGGATGGATGTATGGATTGTGATGAGTTGTACGAACTCCCAATAAAAAAATTTTTTAAGGCTCAAAAACGAAATTCAAATACGATTTTAGCCTGGTAAATATAAAGTGGAATTGGCATAGTGTTTATGTATTGGATTACTAACCTCAAGGTCCACAGTTCAAAACTACCAGCCGCTCCACAAGAGAAAAATAAGCATCTCTACTCACCACCCCCACCCCCACCCACCCATAAAGAGTTACAATCTTGGAAACCACAAGGGAAATTCTACTTTGTCCTGTAGAGTCACTCTGAGTCAGAGCTGACTCGAGGCCACTGAGTTACATCATCGTGATACATGTAAGCTGGGTTTATGAAAAACACTTTTGTCTCTAACTAAACAAACATTTTTTATTAAAAATAATAGATGTTCCACTGAAATTGCATCCAAAAATGTACAGATTGCCACGTTGGTGTCACCCCTCTGATAGTGTCCCTGTGTGCTGGACACTGGCTACACCACCTTAGTGAGGCCACTCAGGGATGCCAGGCCCCACCTCTCGCTCACTCCATCTCGTTACTATTGGGAGTGTGAATATTACTATCACTATATGGTTTCCACCCTGAAATTCAATTGGTAAAAAAGAAAAAGAGCATTTTTAGTGTTGTTTTTGCCTCCATCATTAGGGTTAAATTTGTCATTTCCCCAGGTTGCATTCTGTCTCTGTAGCCCTAACATAAATAACCGTATAACTTTCAGCCTCCATTGATCTTTGAATGATTTCAAATAAAAAGCATCCAGTTTCCATTTCATTGACAAACTGTTCAGTCCCTGGGTGATACTTATTGGATTCGTATTAAAGGAAAGGACAAGAAACAGCAGAAAATCCAAAATGTGGATTTGAGATGGAGTGTGGGAGGTGTGGAAGGTTGTGGTCCAAGCCGGTTGGTAAATGGGTACTTAACCTTTGACCAATGGTGACAACAGGTCTTCTTTAGTTCTATTAGACCCAGAGCAAGCTGTTAGGATTGAATAAAAAGGGGGGAAACTGTTTATAGCCTTACTGAATATAGCCTGGGAATTAAAGCATATGGCAGGGGTAAGGAAAAAAGATTTTCCATATGCTAATGACCCTTGGTGTCTGAAATAAATTAGATCCATTAGAGTTTATGCTCAATAAAAGAAGGACTTTAAGCACTCCAAAGTTAGTGAGTCGAGACCAGTTTTTGCTCTGAAATCCAATCTGCCTCCTTATTAATCCTCAGTGAGGCTCCTGAGAAGACAAGCGATGCTAAATCCTAATTCTGCACTGAATCGGAATTGTAAAGGACCACACATTTCCGTTCCTTTTCTTTTAATTAAACCATTCTTCATGCGTCCTATTTTCTTTTCCTCATTAATTTGATTTTTGTTCCCATTTTTGTTTTTGTTTTTTTTTTCTTTTCAAGGTTTCATTTATCCCATTTCAACTGAACAGAGAACCGAGAATGAATATGGATTTTCTTGTAAGTTTGATGTTTGGTTTTTATGTTGTTGAATAATCACTAAAGGTTACTATCCCAGTTCAAGTTTATTATCCCAGTTCAAGGTTACCTTCCTTTGGATCACAAATGTGCACACAGGAAGTAGGAGCCTAACATCTTCCAACATGGAGAGCAAATTTGATCTTCACCCTTGAAGAGAGGAAAGGGTCATTTCCAGCCCCCATTAGCTGCAAAGTCTAGCGTTGGAAGTTTGAGAGCCCATAGTTGGAAAAACAGATTCTGAAATACACAGAATGGGCATAAAAGCAAAGGTTGAGGCAATGCCCATCTAGTGAGTTACAATCATGAATCTTCAATAAGTAATCGGGTCCTGGGAATGTTAACCGTCAAATTGCAGCTGTATTATTCTGACCAGAGTTCAGGGTTGTGCTGCAGGGTCTCACAACCAAGCAGGCAAGGCGAAACCGATGCTTCTCCAGCAGCGGGCCCTCACCCAGAGTATGGTGGATGGCACAAGGGTTGCTGGAAATATCTGTCAGTATTGCTTTGATTGAGAGGAAAGTGAATGTTCTGGAAAGTTTGCTGAAGACAGTAAATTGAAGGGGTGGGGAGAGTTTTTGTATACTGGACATTTAAAACACCACTTCCTAAGATAAAGTGGTTTCTCAACTTGTCAAGGGCCTGGAACTCACAGATGCACCTAAAATGCACATGGACGTGCTTCTAGAATTGACCATCAATTTTCTGGTTGTTCTTGACAACCCAAAGCAGTAGTTTAATCACCTCTTTTAAGACGAGTGGAACACCTTCAGATAACTTTATAGAATGTTATTTTTTGAGTCAAGGCAAACCAAAAAGGGGCTTAACCCTGTTAGTAGGGTTCAGGAAAGGTTTAATTTTGTTTGTCTTTGTTTTAATGATCACCTTCTATTTTCTTGACCAGATGGATCAAACACACGACCTTAGTCTCCAAGGCATTGGGCAACACTGACAGGAATCCTGTTCTTACTCCCCCCAGAGTCAGGCCCCTGACATACTGCACACTGTGGTGGTTAAATCCTTAATCACCTTGTGGACTAGTCTGACTTTTCTGATCACTGAATCTGGCCTGGATCGTACATACAGAGCTATATTTTATCCCAGTAGTGGGTAGCTCAAACGCACGTAAATCTCTGACAGGAGACTGAGAGACGTTCTGGGTGCCCCAAAATAATACTGCATCTGTATCCAAAGCCAGGGATTCCGAGAAGGTGATCAGCCTTAACGTCTGCTCCCCAGACCTGGGTCTCCTGAAAATACACCTTTCACACCCTACATGTTTGCTCCTGATATTTGCTCTGCTTAGCTACCCTGTAGCTGCCCGCCGCTCACTCCATTGATTGGAAGGAAAGTGAGAAGAGGTCCCAGAAACTAATGTTATGACTTGGAATAGTACTGCGGAAAATATCCTGGTTCAACAAATATACGGCTTCAGGACGGGCCAGTTCTTTCTCACCGTGTTTGTGTTTATGGGTTTGAAGAGCCACCAGAGAATTCAAAACCCCCTTTCAAACTTTCCCACCTGAAAGGAATAATAAACTTTTTGTTTTGTTTTTTTCCCTGTGGGTTGGGATGGTTTTCGCTCCAGTTTCTGTATATGCCTAATAATAAACGGTCTGTTATGCCGCCCAATTAGAAGATAGATTAGTGGGTGGATGGATGTAGAGTGAGAAAGGAAAAGAAATCAGAGATAATTTTCCACTGAAAAGCCACAGTCGTTTTATATAGCTTTTGAAATAGATCTGAAATTAACCCATAAAAGAGGCAATAAATGTCCGAAAAAATATATAGCGATACGTATGTGTGCTGTGGGAAACTCCTATAGCTAGTTGGTCCAATCTTTCTTCTTTCTTTTTAAGCTGCTCCTGACTCAGACGATGTTGCTCTCTATGTGGGCATTGTAATAGCCGTGATTGTTTGCCTGGCAATTTCTGTGGTTGTGGCCCTGTTTGTGTATCGGAAGAATCATCGTGACTTTGAGTCTGACATTATCGACTCTTCGGCACTCAACGGAGGCTTCCAGCCAGTAAACATCAAGGCAGCAAGGCAAGGTCAGTGCACACCTCGCTATGTAGAACGCACACAACTTCCATAGGCGACTTGAAAACCAGGGAGATTCAAGTCTTCCAGTTCAACCCATATGTTGTTCGTATGGCTGTTCAGTGCTGCTGCGTCAGTGCTGACTCACGGGGATTCTAGGTACAGCAGAATGGGATGCTGCCCAGGTCTGCTCCATTGTTCATGTGTTTGAGCCTGTGCTGCGGCCACGCTGTGTCCCTCCAGCTCATCGAAGGCCTCCTCGTTCCCTGCCCCTTTACCTTACCAGGCATGACTGGCTTCTAGAAGGGCTTGTCTGGAATGGAGGCTCCAGGAAGGCAAGGATTTGTATCTGTTTTCTTTATTATTATATTAATGCCAGGTACCTCGTAAATTAGAGTTGACAAGATGCACCCATCATCTTTTTTTTCATTTCTGACAGATGGTGCTTATGTAATCTTGACTCGTTACTTCTCTGTTTGAAAAGAATACACTCATTGATTAGATGATTTATCTGAGGGTCTTTTTTTCCCATTTAACAAAATATTTATTTCTAATATGGTGAGTCAATGATGTACCGCAAACCAGTATCGAGTAGGCAGGATCTTACCCAATAATCACCAATAGGGCTCATTGGTTACGATTCCAATCTGGTGAGTAATGAGTAGACATTAAAGCAAAACAGAGAATGCACCTGTTGACTTGCCTGTAGCCAAGGACAAAATGCATCATGATTATTGGGGGCCTCATTCTCAGTAGAGGCGTCAAGACCCTAGATCCTCAAAGTTTTTAAACAGGTGGCCAGTTCCCTGTCCCTTAGACTGTTGAAGTGCCGGACTGTAGTTTAAAAAAAAAAAGCTATGAACAAATTCCTATGCACACTGCACATCTTATTTTGAAGTGAAAAAACAAAACAGGCAAAAACACCCAGCCGGCCCAATAAATGTCCTCCGTGGGCCGCAGTTTGGAGACCCCTGCCTAGATCTTCAAGAGTAGCTGAGCTGCCTGGCTTTGGGCTCAGGAAGTGTCATGCACAGTTTTAATGGTGTTGGTTTTCCTCATGGAGAATGAATGCAATTCCTTTCTCTTTCTGACTCAGATCTCCTGGCAGTGCCTCCGGACCTCACTTCAGCTGCGGCCATGTACAGAGGCCCTGTCTATGCCTTGCATGATGTTTCTGACAAGATCCCGATGACCAACTCTCCAATCCTGGATCCACTGCCAAACCTGAAAATCAAAGTGTACAACACCTCAGGGGCTGTCACCCCCCAGGACGACCTATCTGAATTCACGTCTAAGCTGTCCCCTCAGATGACCCAGTCCTTACTGGAGAGCGAAGCCCTCAACCTGAAGAATCAGAGCCTGGCACGGCAGACCGACCCATCCTGCACTGCGTTTGGCACCTTCAACTCCCTTGGGGGTCACCTTATTGTTCCCAATTCAGGTAATTCCGAGCGATTTAAATCACAAAGGCTCACTGCGAACACCTATTTGGAACCCAAAACTATTTGTTGTTGTTTTCATTAGGGCTCAAAAGTTAAATATAGGTGATCTACCTCAAATCTACTTTCAACATCAATGGAACATATGACTTGAGAACAAATCAGCAAAACCATTTGCTTTGCTCCACTCAACTCTGAAGGCTTCCTCTAGAACTTTCTGCTGAAGTGTAACTGGGAATTCTCACTGACCTTCTTTTCCAATCCGACTTCGGAAGGCAACGCAAGCCACAATGCTTCACTGCTGTCGCCGTCCTTTAAAGGGACGGATTAATTAGAAAGCATATCCATTGCTTCAGTTCCAATTTACTACAGGAAGCAAAACTTTGGAATGCTAATTTCTAGACAATCACAGAACATAGCAATAGACAGCCAGGACACATTTATTATATTAACTCTTCATTACACGGATTTCAACCTCAAGGGATTAAGAGGCCACTCACTATACCACTCCTGTCTCCATCTAGGGTCAGAGACTCATTTTGTGTCCTTTCGTACTATTATTTCATTATCAGTATTTTATGAGTATCTGGAGAGTAAATCTCAGAAAGATCTTAAATAGAATTTAAAGTCGTGAGTGATATTGTTTGATCCAAGCTTGTTATTCATTAATAATAGCAGTTGATTTGAAGTCATCAATCCTAAGAAGGGTAATGGTTTCCTCTGTAAAAGTTCTGT